TGTCATAGCCAACAGATCTGCAGAGGGCATTCGAAGCGCAAGGAAAGGCATGGAATTTAGGCCTAGCCTCCCCACCCGTGTGACTGTGTCAGACAGAACAGCCTCATGGTTAGAGCACAGGAAGTCGCCATTAGAACACTCCGGGTTCCTCCCACAGACCTGTTGCATCTTGTCTGACATTAAGCTCTTGGTAATTCAGTTTGCTCAGAGATGAAATGAGTGTTATCCTTACTTGCCTGTCTCAGAGGGGTGTTCAGAGGCTTACCCGAATGTTCCTAAAGCACTCGGAGATCCTCACTTGGAGGGCATTATCAAAACCCAAGGTGTAACTACTCACAAATCTCCCACAGGACTAGCTTATTAATGCAGGGGTCATAAATGAAACAGTTGTTTAAATGGGGCATAATGAACCCATGACTTTGCATACGATGTATTGCTTTCCAACAAGGCATTATGGTAAATATTTTCAAAGACAGGCAACTACATTTAAATATGGATTTAGAAGGCTAACTTTAGGCACCCGTTTTTGAACATATTGACCTATAAAAGTTAATTTTGTGCCTCTCTAGGCTGAGCTAAAAGACCCAGCTCTGTTAGCTCAAAGAGTGGTCCAGCGAGTCACACTGTATTAGCATAGGTGGCACAAGTAGCAACCAAACCCTATGAAATGAGGGGACTGATTGGGGATACAACTCAGAGGGAAAATTAGAAGTACTGTAATGGGATGAAATGAAGGAAAGGAAAATTTGCACCGACTATCAGGAAAGACATCCGGACGGTATAAAGCTATTGCACATTCGCCTCCCAGGGGAGAGGTGGAAGCCCCATTGCTTGGGGGCATGACACACTAAATAGGAAGGAAAACACATCTAGGCATATGGCAGCAAGGCAATGCCTCACAAGCTGTAGCTCACTGACATCAACAATCCAGGAAGCCATCTCCTGCAGCATCAGCAGACTGGAACTTTTAAGCTACTTCTCCCCTGCGCCTGAGAGTGCATTTCCCAGAGTGGGTAGACAGACAGGCGCTAGCTCTGCTCCAGCTAACACTAAAATTAGCAAGTGGCTTGGGAGGTGATTAGGCTAGCCACCTGTGTGAATACCGGGGAGGTCGGGTGGACTTGTAGTCGGCTGACCCGGGGCCTGTGCCACTGCAGCCCCATTGCTCGCACTAGCTTGATCAGATCTAGCACTTGACTGTCTACCCTTACTGGGAAGCACGCTCCCAGCTGCTCCAGACCTACCTAGAGTGCCAGGCTGAGAGAGACGGGGGATACTGCATGAGGAGCTGGTCTCTCCCTGACAAAGCGGTCTACAGAAGGATTTAGTTGGAGAGCTACTGCAATAAGGAATCAAGTATCAGGGGGTAGCCGTGTTAGTCTGTATCTACAAAAACAACAAGGAGTCTGGTGGCACCTTAAAGACTAACAG